GATGTCGAACGCTGCCGAACGCGGAGGCCGATTGTGCCTCTTTGTCGCTCGTTCCGCGCTCTCGCTTGCACTTCAAGCCTTAAATGGAACGCCTCAGAGCGAGGTAACGCCGCATGAGTCATGTTTTTTTGTGCGTGCAGCCGGCTCCATCGAATTATAAGACGTTGTCACGTCAAAAATAGGCGATATAGGTTGGTAGGACACCTTTTCAGGCATGAAGGGCTAGTTATAGATATATTAGAAGCAGAAACAGGAACTAAGAGGATGGTGGTTTATTAAACAGTGTTAAGACTGCGGACTTCTTCGAATTATTCTAAATGCCGCCTTAGGTACATTTGCACTGCATCTGCGTTGTATTCTTATTATTTGGTTTTTTCCTAAATTACAACACCATTGTGTGCTACCTAACTACGAACCTTTTGGTGTACGTGACCAGTGTCGTTGGGGGTAGTGACCAGGGAAAATTCCATAAACAGAAGTGATAGTGGGAGAAATAGTTTTCAAATTCAAAAAAGACAGAACAGTTTAGATTTCCGACAGTAATAGCACATCTATCAAACAAATCGTTTCAATTCAATTCATTTCTTTTTGTAATCGTAAATTTAAGATTAATTTGTCGTGTATGTATAGGATTAATAAACGTATTAAGTAATACGCATCTTATTAATCGGACATACGCTGGTCCTTCGAGTTCTTCGATTGTTCATACCGAATAATCTATGTGGTACAGCAGTACACCGGCGGAAGATACATAAATTTTTAGTTTCCTTTCGCCAAGCGAGCCACGCTCCGTAACAAACAGATACATGTCACTACCCTTATGTAAGGTGTTTACGTATACACAAATCAATACTTATCATGGCATAGATTTTTTGAAGACTAAACTAAAGTTGTCAAAAACTAACAGCGGCTTTCTTTTTTCACTATAGTTTCAAAACTAACAACACATTTTCCTTTTACGAATAATTATTAAAATGAAAGACATCAAACAACTTATTAATTATGGGTTAACAAATTAATTGCAAATATGTGATAATTAACGATTGAAGGAGTAACAGCAAACTTTTCACCAATAGCTATTCGATCATTTTACCTTTACCCTTGTCCTTATTTGTTCTAGTTTTATTTTGAGTTACAAACTAAAAAACAAAGAAAGGTATACAAAACTGGTTCTAGTCAGATTATACTTTTGATACGTTAATAATTTCACCATGTTATAACTTGTTATTCTTATAAACAATACTGAAATAATTTTTTTATCATTTAGTGAATTCCTTAAATGCTCTATTAAGGAATGATTCTGAATATTTGAATGCCTTATCAATTCATTTGGGCCTACGGAAGTGTTAATACTTTATTACTAAACATTCAAACTGTTACTTCCCGAGATAAAACTGTTCAGTCTCTCAGAGTCTCTGAAAGCGAGACTCAAGTCTCCGTCACTCATCGAGTCTCTCTGGTGTCGCTGAGAGAGACTGTCAATAAAACTATTCAGCGTCTCTGAACGAGAGACTCGAGTCGCTCATAGAGAGATCCTCATTTCGTATCCAGTCTCTGAACCAGAGACTCGAATCTCTCAATAAGTGGTGTCTTTCTACGAGAGACTGGAGTCTCTCATTTTTTCAGTTTTATTCATTCAGTCTCTCTGTGAGAGACTCGAATCTCTGAATTAACAATTTTTTCGTTCGAGTCTCTCATACAAAGACTGTCAAAGGCTATGAGAGACGTTCTCAGAGACTCTGGGAGACTCTGAGAGTCTGGGGAGAGACTGAAAATTTTTGTCTAGGGTTACAATTAGTATTACTTGTTTCATATTATTTTAATCAACTTATACTTCCATTATACTCTACTCTTGTTTGTTAACGTTAATGTTGTTCTGGACTATGAAAAACGATAATTACATTTTCAAAACGTATAGCTATTTTCCCATTAGTCCTACAATTGTCCCACAAAACCTGATGATTATCTAATATGCCTAGATTGACGGTTGTTCTAGATAACATCTTTTTTGAGTTTTGTGTACAAGTACAAGTAATTACTGACAATAATTAAGTAAGTAGTTGCAATTTTTGTAGTAATGATTCTTATGTGATTATAGTTTTAACTATGAAATAATCACTATAAATACCGATTTAGTTTTGTAAAAAGTCATCATTTGTTTGGTGTCCTTTTCGAATAACAAATCTACAAAAAATGAATTGTTTGGTAAGTAACTTCTGTACAAATCTTTAATTGTGTTTTATTGTATTACGAAAGAAAGTGGTTGAAATTGCACGATTCGATACTGATTATTTTAAGGTTTTCATTTTTAATAAAAAAAAAATCAATTACTTCCTTTAGGTTTTTGCATGTTGCATTGCCCTTTCTATGGCAAATGCGTATCCTTGGATCAACTATGGTTATACGATTCGCGGACAAGGAGTTAACAGTGTTGTAATAAAAGGAGGATCTACTGCAGCTAACATTGCTGGACCAGACGGTAGTTTCATCACCAGCCTAGCAAATGCTGGAGCAATAGGGTCACCGATTACGGATGGACACATAACTCAAACAGTTCCCTTCATACCTTCTACTCCAGAGTATAGCAACTCGATGTCGTCTCATACTTACAGTCTTCCATACTCTTCTCATCTTCATGGCACTCGAAAAGTGATCATCAACGGTCCTTCTGGTACCATCATCGCTTCTGACCCTTCATATAATCCTTACGTACCAATTCATTTACGTGCATGGTAATTTCTTTCCAGGACTATTCCTTAAATAAATTCAGCGACTTATTATTTATTCATTTGTAATAAAATATAATAATTGCCACTGTACATCATCATACAGCTAGACAAATAATAAATTTATATACCTTTGTGTATATTTTGAGGAATTTATTGTAATATTCCTGTACATTAATATACAGTGATATACTTATTCATTATTTTAATGCTTATTTGTTTATACATCAGATTAATAGAACTAATTTAAGGGGTGTTTATATATACTAATTATTTATTAAAAAACAAGAATAAGGATTCAGCTATAAAGGATCTTTTCGAAATTTTATTTTTATTTTGTTTTATATAAAAAAACTACAAATTGCTTCAATAATCTCTTTACAAATATTAAGTATCTTACATTCGAGCAAGAACTAATTTTTTTTTAGATTTTTCTTTTTGCTACTGTGACTATGGTTTTTTGCAAAATGTTGCCAACAGAAAAATAATTAATCCTGATTGGCAAAAATAGTAGAAATCGGAAGAAATTCTATCGGTCGTGTTCTGCTAATTTCACGAAAAGCCACTAATTCGGAATTTGCAATTAATGATCCCTTTCTTTGTTAGTTCTCTTTGTATATGCGATTTCTATTAGATTAACTTAAAGATTAGTATGCTTAGATTTGCAGATGATATAGCAGTATTAGCATCTAGCAAGGAGGAGTTAGAGATGGCTTTAAATAAAATGGAAGTGGTATTGGCAAAACAGTATTGTATAAAAATAAATAAAAGTAAAACAAAAATATTTTCATGCAAGGTAAGAAAAAGTAAAGAAAACGCGAATATAAAGATAGGAGAGGAATGATTAAAAGATGTGGCTAATTTTTAGGTATCTAAGAAGTCAGATAAGTCAGGACGGAAGGAGTAGTAGGGATATAAAGCAGAGGATAGCGCTGTGTTGAGTCGCCTTCAACAAAAAGAAGTCACTTCTATGCTCGCGAACGGTTGATTTAAAAATTCGAAAAAGATTGTTAATTGTGTATGTTTAGAGCGCGGCGTTCTACGGATGCAAAACATGGACGATAGGCGCGGCAGAAAAGAGAAGGTTAGAATTGTTCGAAATGTGGTGTTATAGACGAATGATGAGGATACCGTAGATAGAGAAGGTTAGAAGAGTAAGAGAACAGAGTACTCTATAAAAATCTCTACTCTACTCAGAGACATATTAGAGGCAGAAACAGGAGTTAAGAGGAGTAGGGTAGACCTAGATTAGATTAGTGTTCGTAAATAGTTAAGAATGTAGTTCTAGTTTTATGGAAATGCGAAGATTAGCTCAGGATAGGAAGGAGTGAAGGTGTGTGTCCAACCAGTCTTAGGAATGACGACCTTATGATGATTATGATGCGATTACTGAATCAGCTACAGTTTTAATTGTAAATAAATGGGTTATTTAAAAGTGCAGACCCTTCTAAAAGTAGCATGTTGATTTTAAAAGAAATAAGCACTTACTGAAACCGTTTGTTGGTATCAAAAAAGCGAGTTGTAGCAAAAAACTATCATGATACATATATGAAAAAAGAAAACAAATCATTTTTTAAATATACTTACCATTCTGTTGACTTTTTTCATTGTAAACATCTACAAACTATGGCTTTCATACGAAAATGCTTATTTAAATAAAGATATATAATATGAATACATATATTTTGTTATATTTTAGCTTTTGAAAATCCCTTTACATAAAACTATTATTAATATCAAAAGTATTTGTCACTGAATGATAATGATCCTTTTACTCAACGAGATGCTATAATGGTACCGGATGGTCCGTCAATAATGGCTCCAGGTCTATTAATAAAGAATGGTAAATTTGGGAAGAAATACGGGAAAGGTAAACGCCAAATGAAGGGATTGGGAACCAAGAAAGGAACCGGTTGCGTTTGAAGTACGTATCCTGAAGTTGCCGATGATGTAACTGCTCCTGCATCAGCATTGCTGGTGATCAGACTCCCATCTGGACCAGCAACGTTGGTCGAAGTGGATGGTCCTTTGACTAGTACATTGTTCTCCATAGGACCCAATTGAACAAAACCAGGATTCACTACAGTAGCAGCGCTCACCATAGAAAGAGCAACGGAGAAGAAAATTACCTAAAATAAATAACATTTTCTTTTACTGTAATAACTGATGGTTATAGAAATATATATTCCCTCTATGTTACAGGAATTTAAACATAACAAAAAAACTAATTTTCGAAAACCATAAACGATTTCAAAGGCAATGTACTTACCAAGCTGTTCATCTTGTTAAAGTTGTGAGTATGTTCTCAAAAGGTAACTGATGATTTTATGAACAGTGAGACAGCTTTATATACCCAAGTACCCAATAAATAAATAACAACATTGTAATGATGAAGACGTACTTTGACAATACTTAATTATTTTCAATTAAGTATGATAAGATTTGTTTTCAGAAAAATGCAGTCCTTCAAAAAATCACACATGGACATCTTATTTTTCGGGGGATAAAGTCAAAGCTTAATCGTTATTTAAATGTCGTTTGTCTATGATATGTGAAATTAATAAAGGAATCACTTACCTACCATTGTACTATTAATTAATCAGGTATCTGAATATGATAATGCGAAATATTTGTTTGGAGGTTTACGTAACATGTTAATGCCTATAGTAAGTAGTTCACTTACCGATTAAATAGAGAAGTAGTAGATTAACTAATTAGGCCAATTATACGGCGGGTATAGATAGGAAGCATTATTGAAACAAATATAGAAATTGAATATCTAGGAAGAAAAGTTTTAAGTAAAAAAGTGTAGAAATACATTTGTTTAATACTGCCACACATCGTTGTTTTTGTTATTTCTTGCAGAATAAAAATAATGTAGTCACAATTAGAATTTGTTTTTATCAAATGATTAGCTTAATAATGAACAATCAAATGATTAATAAATAAAGTTTTTTTTCTCACAATATAAAGAATTCCAATTCTAAATTTTAAAGAAAAAATGGGTTGTCTGTAAAGTCGGTTTACTGACGATAGTTGAACGTGACAACGTCATAAGAAAATACTGATGGAATGGTTTCATTTTTCAAAAGAAAATTTTAATTTTATTTGTTTGATAGATATTTTGTATGGATATAGAGAAGGAGGTAAATGGAAATGTATTATTGTATAGCAGCTGTCCACGCGGACGCATCGCTCACTCAAGAAGGAGAGAGACAGATGTCGAACGCTGCCGAACGCGGAGCCGATTGTGCCTCCTTGTCGCTCGTTCCGCGCTCTCGCGTGCACTTCACGCCTTAAATGGAACGCCTCAGAGCGGGTAACGCCGCATGAGTCATGTTTTTTCGTGCGTGCAGGCTGCATCGAATTATAAGACGTTGTCACGTAAAAAATAATTTCTAAAATAATATTGTTTACATGATTTTTCCAACGAACTGCAAAATACTTTTTTGCTCTTATCACCTATCAAACGTTACATGTATAACATGAACAAAAATTGCTCACATAGGTCACGGGATAGATAGATTTAGAGCATTAGAAAGAAACATTCTATAGATCCCTTTTAAAACTTAAACTGAAGAAAGTGCAAAAAATTGTGAATTACTTGGTAATGAATAATTGAAGATTGATATGCTAATTATAGATATAGTTAATCAAAATGTCTTAAAAAACGGTTTCAAAAACTTTTCTTCGCTCAACTCGAGATGGAAGGAGCAGTAGAGATATAGAACAGAGGATAGCGCATTGTCGAGTCGCCTTTAAGAAAAATAAATCACTTTATGCTCGCAAACAGTTAATTTAGAAATTCGGAAAAGACTGTTAAAGGTGCATATCTAGAGCGCGTCCCTGTACGGTTGCGAAACATAGACAGAAAAGAATAGGTTAGAAGCGTTCGAAAAATGGTGTTACATGTGAATGATGAGGATACCGTGAATAGAGAAAATTAGAAATGAAAAGGTATCAGACAGAATAGGAGAACAGCCCGGCTAGAATTTTGAAGGGGGTGCAGATAAGGTAGCCATGTAGTTCTTGTGGACCCCATGAAGTTGCCCCCTAAGACCTTGCCGCAATTGCCCATCATCAGGAATGCCGCATGTGGTCCCCGCAGGGAATAATTAATTATTGATACCCCATTAAAAATTTTTGGAAAAATGAACTTTATTATTAATGAAAAAAAAAAATATTTGTAAAATTTGTTTGCTGTTAAGTAAGATTATGTTATTGATCTGTTTTGTAGTCAATAATACTTTAAATTGCAATCGTTTTACTGTTGTTCGACCTGATGCGTCTGGTTTCAGTTCTCTTATAATAACAATATCAGGAAGTACACATAATGGTTCGGTGCAANAAAATTTGTTTGCTGTTAAGTAAGATTATGTTATTGATCTGTTTTGTAGTCAATAATACTTTAAATTGCAATCGTTTTACTGTTGTTCGACCTGATGCGTCTGGTTTCAGTTCTCTTATAATAACAATATCAGGAAGTACACATAATGGTTCGGTGCAATGTAAAAGATTTCATTGAAACGACGACATACTTAGACAAGGGGATTATTATTATAAGTTTTTTCATTTTACCGAGAATATCTTCAAACGGATTTGCCTCATCGAGTCCCCACAGGGTAGATTTAATTGTATGTTTAGATATACATGCAATAGGTTTACCCCCTAAGACCCATATAAAAAACCTATAAGGAAATCCTAATTTTAGTAGCACCACTTTTTTTGGTAGAATTTTCATGAGGAATCTACGGGGAAATCCCTATATGGGCATGACCCTCTATAGCCACATGAGGCCCGCGCCCTACATGGGGCATGCCCCCTTTAAATTCTAATCGGGAGAGGACTCTATGAGATTCAATAAGAAATAGGCGAGATAGGTTGGTAGGAGGTATGAAGGGCTACTTACAGGCATATTAGAAGCAGAAACAAGAGTTACGAGGAGTAGAGGTAGATCTAATGTTAGATTACTGTTCGCAAATAGTTAAGGATATACAATAGAATGTTCTAGTCTTAGGGAAATGCGAAGGTTAGCTCAGGATAGAAAAGAGTGGAGGTGCGTGTCCAACCAGTCCTATGACTGACAACCTTATAATGATGATGTTTTACGCTGCTATCTTGGCATCAGTGTAATGTCCGGTCTTAAAATTAAAATGGGTGCCAAAGGCAAATAAGGGCTCATGTACAGGGATTGTTTGTTTGTTGAACAATAAAAACTATAAAATGGAGACATACAAATCCGAATTAGTTTTTGTTTTATTTATACTTTGAAATGTGTTTCAGCAACGTTTCATAGCAATACTCGTCTTATAATTGACCAAATAAATTAATCAATTTTTTCTCTATTTAATCATCAAATGAATTACAAACCAGGTACTGACATGTTATCTAAATAACTAAACAAATATTTCGCACTATTACATTCTGATACCAAAGTAATTATAACTAGGATGAAAGTCGTTCCTTATTTTACTACACATATCGTAGACAAATGACATTCAGAGAACTATTAAACAATATCATATTATCCTACAAAAAATATAATGTTAATGTATGATTTTCTCAAACATTGCATTTTCTAGAACCACATCTAATCGTGCTTAATTGGAAGTAATTAAGTAATGTCTAAGTACGTCTTCATCATTACAATGCTGTTATTTATTTGTTGGGCACTTGGGTATATAAAGCTATTTTACTGTTCTTGAAATCATCAGTTACCTTTTTTGGAAATATACTAATAATTGTAGCAAGATGAATAACTTGGTAAGTAGGATTCTTTGCTATTATATCATTTATGGCTTCTGAGTATTAATTTTTTTACGTTAGGTAATTTTATTCTCTGTTGTCCTTTCCATGGTGAGCGCTGCTATGGTGAATCCTGGCTTTGTTCGTGTAGATCCTGGGGAAAACAATGTATTAATTAAAGGACCATCCACTATAACCAAAATTGCTGGTCCGGATGGTAGTCTTATCACTAGTAATGCTGATGCAGGAGCAGTTGCGTCATCGGCAACTCCAGGATATGTAGTTCAACCACAACCAATTCCTATCCTCGTTCCTAATCCATTCGTTTGGAGTTTACCTTTCCCATATTTCTTCCCGAATTTACCATTGTTTAATAACAGACCAGGAACTATTATTGACGGACCTTCCGGTACCATTGTAGCTTCTAATTGAAAAAAAAAACATTTATTATCGGATGGCATATACATTTGTTACTATTAATAATTTTTTGTAAAGATATTTTTGAAAGCAAAAAATGTAACGGTATACAATATACAAGAATATAATTTTTTCATTAAAATAAGTGTTTTCGTTGGGAATGGATTTTGGATTTGTAGATGTTCAATGTTAAATTAACCTGAGGTAGTTCATAGTGGGTAAAAACTTGAAAATTAATTTTCAGATTAATATTAAAAACAGTCGACAGAATTTGAATAAATTTTTAAGAACAGTACAGTTTCTNGTATATCAATTTCATGGTTAGGTTTTTCGCCACCAAACTTTTCCCTCAATTTTAAACAATTGGGATTTAAGTAAAAATAATTCAAGCATGCTGAAGTCGAATATCACATTGATTTTTGATATAATTTCAATATTTCTTACTAAAAAAATGTTACTCTTATAGATAACTTTTGTATTTCCATTGGTGTTGGGAAAATTCTTTCGTATTCTAACTACTGCAAAAGTATATTATCATGGAATAGGACATAAGCACCCTTAAATATTTACAATCAAAACATCAAAAACAATACGTATAAAATAAATCGTTTAATAATTAAAGCAGTAGTCAATTTTAGTACTACTTATACAAGAGGATAAGGATCATTAACTGCAAATTCTGAGGTAGTGACTTTTGACGGAATTAGCACAGCACGACCATCATCTTCAATTTTTATTGCTCCAGCACTGCTTATAGTTAGAACGTCGTTTTCAGCTCCTACTATTCTTGACACAGTATCAGCACCGATTATAAGAAAACCTTCCCTTTCTATTGGTAGTGATTTGGCAAAGGCCATAGCCACAGTGACAAAAAGAAAAATCTGAAAAAATCAGTTTTCATGAGTTTATAGATCTAAAGAGAAAACAATAAAAGTGGTTGACGATTTTCATTTATAAAGTAAAATTAACAAAAGTATAAAAATTTAAGTATTCAGTAACGCTAATCAGACCATCGAATGACTATTTTAAATATACAGTAAGGAAGCCTTACGATTTCTTTTGATAAAAAGAATATAAAAAGACCAAAGAAGAAGTTAACTTTTATTTCTTTAAAGACANACTGTGTTTCTTTTACCAAGAATTGGTCCTGATTTTAGGATGATCGTGAGTTGTCTTTGTAGTTAAATTAGCTTCGCTTTTCAAAATTAGGCATACTCGATCACATTTTGCCTTACGGATTCTCGATCTCTTGAGTTTTTTAGGTAACTTATGTCAAAATAATTATAATTTGTAAAGGATGTTAAAAACCCGTGGGTAGAAGAAGTGAGGAAGTATTAGAAAATGAAGGAGAACAAAGGGCGTTACGGAAGTCAATAAGAAATAGGCAAAATAGGCTGGTAGGACATCTTCCTAATATACTCCGAAATGCTGTTTTGAAGATGTGGTTAAAATTTCATTTGAAAACAATTAATACTGAAAAATCGTGTTACGGAAAACTCGTTTAAAATTTTGAAATAAGGTTTAGGCATAGAAAATAAGAAATTTGAAAACTTATATTGACGCTATACACCAACGTATTTTTGCTTTAAAATGCTTCTAACATACTTTGCAATGTCATGTAATTAGTGTAATAGAGGCGTTAGAATTCAATAGATAAAACATTTTTTGCCTGATATTTTAAAAGATCCAATATTAAGTCAAAAAAAGGAAAATATATTTTTTTTGAACATTTTAGGAAAAGTATCTATTGTAGAATCGTATATAGAAGCCAATTGTCCATTTTCTGTGTTTATCTTCACACTTTCTCTAAGCTTTGAAATGCTTTGCGATTTCAATTCATTGTATTATGGTTAACGTTACTAAATAAACCTTTTCTATTTTTAAAAATAGATTTTTGTTAAATTCAGGAAAATTTACAATTTTTGAGAAATTTCAATTATAAAAATCTGA